TTTGCACACCAATCCACAGGTCACATTTAACTTTGGTCCAGCAGATGTGAAGCAGTTTTTTTTTTTTTTAAATTTTATTCATAATTACTGCAGACGTCATCAGATCTACACAGATTGTTGATGGGAATCTCCCAGTCTGAAATGATTCCCAAAGATAGCTGAGTTATTTCTATTTTGAATTTGAATAGAGGGTTTTGGTGTCCCATGACAGTCTAAAATTCTGTCTCAGATGTGTTGGTTCCCCGTTAAGATATTTCAACATTAAATATTTAATTTTCAGAATTCCTTGGCATAAAAAAATAGTTGTATTTTAGCTACTGAAACCTGGTGTAAAGTATCATCAATTAGTAGCTCGGTTCCAGCAATGTCTCTCGTGGTGAAAGCCTTGTAAAACTATCATCACATGAACCCTCGTGTGTAAGACTTAAGTGCCAAACGCTCTACGCTTAAAATGACAGATCAGAGTCGTAGAAAGAGGGAGGAGAGGAAAAGAAAGCAGGATAGGTGTAGTGTTTGAAATTCACCGCCTCTCTAAAGGCTGATCCGTTTCTCCGAGTGTGTGTGCGTCTTCTGGGTACGTTACAAATAGAAGACAAGAAAGTTTAGGTCAACAGAAAGATGGAGTAAACGTTAGGGGGAAAAATATAAATGTAAGGCTAATGGATTGAGACAGATGAAGCTTTAATATTTCAGTGTGTTGATTCACTGAAACATCACTGTTCACAATAAAAAAAAATAAACCAATGAACCCAAACTTAAGCACCAAGGCATTTATTTAAAGCTGTAGAGCATTTTCTATTTGTAGAGAGAATCTGATAGAAAGCCCACTTTGAGTGTCGATTCCTGAGAGTTGCGCTCTGTCCCTTTTTCAGTGGAATCGTATGAAGAGGAAGCGGAAAGGATGAGTGAATAGATGAATAAGGGGAGAGAAAGGATGACAAAGAATCTAAAACGGCGGAGAAAGACATGAGAACTTCAGCCTTTCATGAAGTGCACAGCTTATGAAACAAGATAGCCCTGAAATGTGAGTGTGTGACCACTCGGTGGCCTCCAAGTGTGTGTGTGTGTATGTGTGTGTGTGTTTGTGCCGTTCAAAGTCAAAGGGCAGATTTCGATGGCAACCACACCTACACTTCAAGGGAAGGTATCTCTGCTCTTTCAGATGAACACAAATGAGTATCTGTGTGTGTGTGTGTGTGTGTGTGTGTGTGTGTGTGTGTGTGTGTGTGTGTGTGTGTGTGTGTGTGTGAGTGAGGCGCAGCTGTGCTGTCGTTTGGTGCTGACAGAGCCAGTGAGGATCCTTGAACTGGAAAGATGAGAACGTCCTCTAGAAGGCTTCATAAAACCGTCTCATTGTCCCTCCTCACACACACACATACACACACACACATATACACACACACAACTATGACAACTTCATCCCTTTACAAGACTTCAGGCCTCTATTCTTTGCTTCACATTTACTTTGTTTGTGTGTGTGTGTGTGCGTGTTTGGTGGAGAGTTTGCGCATGTGCTCTGGCATGTCTAAGTCACCAAAGTGTAGGTGTACTTCAAATATCATACCAAAACTTTAACACACACACACACTCAGGCAAGTTAAGAGTGCCTTGCCCAGTGCTGCTGGCAGACTTAACCAACGACTCATCAATCAGTTTTCAATATAAAAAAAGAAAGAGGAAACGTTCCTCTTCCTCTTGGCAGAAGGTGGAAGCTGACACCTTTCCCTGAGTGTCCTGGCAAAGAAAATCTCTCTCTGTCTCTTTTTGTTTTCCCTACTTTTTTTTTGAAGATGAGACTATTCCCTGTCTCCTTTCCCAGCCTCCTTCCTTTCTTTGCCTTCCTCATTAGTTAGTGGGCAGAGCCGCAATTAGGACAAAATTGTTTCAGAGAAGAGGGACTGTAAGGGAGGGGAGGGGAAGGAGGAAATGGGAGGCAGTAAAGATGGAGAGAAAGAAAGGGGGAGAGAGAGAGAGAGACAGAGGTAAACAAGAAAGAAGAGTTGAAAGAATGTGGCTGGAGAGGAGGGGAGGAGGAGGTAATTAATGAAGCTGCTATAATTACTGAGGCCTGTTTACGCCAGCTTTGGAAGACAACACTCACACACACAAACTCCCGACAAATTACACTCACCTTTCCACAGCAATAATCTGCAATTATTATTTAAAATGCTAGAGGTGTACATTGACTAATGACACAACCTTTTCATAATAACCCATCAAACCTAAGAACACTTTCTCATTTCACCAGGTAGACGGTGTCGACTAAGATTAAATTCTTTTTTAACCAGGAAGACGTAAAAAAAAAAAGGAAATTATTTAACCTTGCAAGACCAATTTTTACTGTATAATTTAACAAAGAACAGATTTGTATTGTAGAAAGCAAAGCTGAGGGGAACAAAGATGAGAAGATGAGACAAGTAGGGGGAGAGAGGAAAAAGAAGATAAGATGTAGATCTGAAGGGAGTCCAGGAAAGAATAAGACAAAAGTTGGAGGTCAGAGGAAGAGTGGGTGAGATGGTGGGAGAAAAGGAAAGAAAAGAAGAAGTGTGGAGGACGGGGAGAGAAAGGGACAGCAGTAGAGGAGGAAGAGGCAGCAGTGGACAGAAAGGGAGTCGAGAACAAATGAAAGGGGGACAAAAGAAGAAGAGGAGAAAGGAGAGGAGGCGACGGAGAGAACATACTGACAGAGGACAGATTCAGCAGGAAGGAGAGGGAGCAAGGAAAGAGCAAAAAGAGGAGGAGAAAGGAGGGGAGGGGTGTGTGATGGGGGACAAACCAAGGTGGAACTCTGATGATGCTAAATTTGGCAAAAGGAGAAGACTGACTGTGTGTGTGTGTGTGTGTGTGTGTGTGTGTGTGTGTGTGTGTGTGTGTGTGTGTGTGTGTGTGTGTGTGTGTGTGTGTGTCGGGAGACTTGCTGAATCGGCTGTGGTTCCAGTTTCACGCCTCTGAGTTTGACAGAGGGGGAGAGAGAGGGAGAGAGAAGGAGCGAGAGAGAGGGTCCCTAGCCAGTAATGTTCCCTCAGGGCGGACGGACGAAAGGATGGTGGAAGGGATGGAGGGAGGTGAAGGGAGAGAAGGAGGCAGGCAGGAAAGGGGACAAAGTAAGAGAAGGAAATTTATACCTACCTTTGCGAACACATTATCGCACAGAGGACGCACATGTTCTTTTACTAAAGTCCTTATCAGCATCTTCTCCTGATTACAGTTATATCTAATAGTGCTGCAAATTGGCTCTTTAACTCTGAATCTAGACCTTTTTTCAACAGTTGTAATTTTGACTTTTCTACCTTTCGAGCGCTGTATGTAAATGAACTTTCAGAGTATTGAGGGCAGTCATCTTCTCATTGTCTCTGGTCTTCCCTGGTCTGTGTGTCAGTACGTTTAATACCCAAATAGATCCAGCTGAGTTCTCTTTTGGCTCTGATCAAGTGTCATGTCCACACCTCTGCAGGAGGGGCATGTGTTTTTAACCGCTTCTGCTTGTTAAAACACCGAGAGCCAGAGAATGATGGATGTTCAAGGAAAGATAGTGAAACCATTATATTCACGTAGTCTTTTTGGAAAATCAGATCTGCAAGTCAAACAATTATCTCACATGTACATTCTCAATAGACAATGATAACTACTACAACATCCCAACTATGAGGGTAAAACAAAAAAATACAAATGCAACTTAATAGTTTATCTATCTCAGCCTCTGGTTTCAAGTATCCTCACCTTGATTTTCATATTGAACTGAAATGAACTTAACCAAAAGTAATGAAAGCCGGAAGGCTGACAAACGTACTTAAAAATGTGTGATAGGCTTTCAAGGATTGTTGGCACCAATTTAAAGTATAATTGCTATGTGGTTGAAAGGCAAAGCCACCGTCATGGTTCCTGATTCCTCACCTCAGTATGAACCCTACCCCATAATCCCTAAAAATAACCCCACTGAAGACGGGCCAGGGTAAACACAAATTAACACAAATTATTTGCATGTGTGTGTCTGTTTCCTGTACAGGTTCTTTACATACACACCTGTAAAAAGCTACCTGACTCTCGTTATGCAAAGCATGCAAAGCATTTGCTATTCATTCGTCCAAAGAGGATATTCAGATACCTTAAAGTCAGCGTGTGTATGACTGTCTGTGTGTTGTGTCTGCAAATCTTGTTCTTTATACATTTAAGCTTCAACATTCGTCTCCCTAAGCAAAAAAAGAGTGTGTGTGTGTGTGTGTGTGTGTGTGTGTGTGTGTGTGTGTGTGTGTGTGTGTGTGTGTCAGTGGTGAGGTGTGCGCTAATGGACATCTAAATGCTGCTGATGTTTCGTTGGATAGTTTAAGGCCCCTCAGGTCCCCTTAGACCGATATTGGGAGAGAAAAAGTGAGGGAGAGAATGTGACTTCTGCAAATCGCTTTGACAAGGACACCCGCGCCTCGAGCGGCGTGTTCTTTCGCCTCATCGAACACACACACACACACACAAACACACACACACATACTGCGACATCCACACCTCAGCAGAATCGTGAGGTGACTGTTGCGCTCCGAACAGCTGACTTGGTAGAGGACGTTTGTGTGAGTGGGTGCAAGTTATGCTGAATCCAGTTTTAATTCAGTTTTGAATGTGAAGAAACAGAGAAACAGTTTGCAAATGATGAGAGTCTTAATTTTCTGAAGCAATGTGCAGTGGATAAAGGAAACCTGTAACAGCTGAAATATTTTGGAAAGAAAACCAATCACATGTTGACTAGACTGAAGGCGAACTGGCCCTCTATCCTGAATTCCAGCAAAGGAACCTTGCAAGGAATTTAAAAAAAGGCTTTGTATTGAGTAAAATGCTTTTTTTTTTTACATGTTACAAAATGTTTTGAGAGGGTTTAAGATAACTTTCACAAGTTAGTAATTGAATACACAAACTTTCTTGCCATTTTACTCTGTTGAGCTGAAGAAGCTTTGTTACATCCCTCCAAACTCTAAACTGATCATTATATCCCAACATCTGGCCCATCTTACCTCAAAGTCATTGGCCTTGTTGTAGTGCATGTTGAGTGCCCTGAAGAGCTCAGCGTCGCGGCCGACTGTCATCTCCTCCGAAGCGGTTACACCCTCGTTGATGGCCTGTCGGGCAAACTTCTCCATCTGGATGTAGTAGAACTCCCTGAAGTTGCTGAACCACTTGATCAGCTGGGAGGTGATGCAGCGATTGAACTGGAACAGTACACACAGAAAATGAATTACATTAAATAAGCAATATACATTTAGATTTAATTTCCACTGTGTTTCAGAAGTTCATTTTATATTGTTTTAATTGTAATACATTCATACATTTCTCAGTATTCCAATGGGCAGCCCAAACAAAACAGGGGTAACCTCTCTCCCTTTACTCCAATGCGTTCTGGTCTATTGACGCCAAACACTGATGTTTAGTGTGGAAACATTTTATATAGAACCATATTGATATATAACACATGACAACTATGGCCATTTATTCATGAGATACTAACATTTAGCTCTTCTGGAAATGTAAAAGAAAAATGTTTGTAACAGATTGTAGTGATTTACAAGGGCTATGAAAGATTTTAAACATGTCGTAAAAGGTTATAACAGATTTTAGTTTCACAGTGAGATGGAGTAGATTAAGCACTGAATGTTGCTTCCTGTGTGATGGTGCTGTAGATTTACAATGGAACAGCCTGTTTGCTTTGGTACTTATTTGCATGGTGGTATGTCATCAAATTTGACTGGAACTGGGCTTCTGTATGAATTCTTACAACATCTACAAATGAAATGACTTTTGTACAGAGTGCATTTTACACGCGGTTAGAAACTCTTCTTACAAGGTTAGTCCTTGAAAATCTTCTTTTTCACTCAAAGAAAACTTTATCAGCACTGAGCTGAGGTCTTTCTGTACTTCAAAACTGATGAAACGGGCACCTTAAACACAGGAATCGCTGAAAGGAAATTAGCAGGCGAACCTTGAGTTTGTCTGAGTTTGTATGCTTTTCATATTCTTCTTTAGGTGATCCAGTTGATGTTAAATGTGTGAGTTTGAATTCAAACAACTTTTGTTTTAGCATGTGCTTTAGTTTTGGTTGAGTAATTTTCTATACAGTGGAAATATCATTCAAATTTGGCAATCTGAACAGGAGAAAACTGTTTTCATTTACTTGTATTTTCTTGTGTGTGTGGGGGTGGGGTGGGGGGTGGTATGTGCATGTGGGTAAATGCATTTGAAGGCAATGAGCAACAGAAACCCTTCCTCCAATTAACTCTTAACTAACACACACGCGCACACACACACGCAGCCATACACACACACACAGTAAAAAATATTTCCATTTATCCACCTCATTAGCCACTAAAGCAAAGTCTAAACCTTGAGGGTCTTTGTTGGAAAAAAAAAAATCTGCCCCTAGAAACCTTCCTAATCAAACATGAATGACCCAAATATTCAATATATTTTATTATTGTGCCAGAATGAGCTTTCAGACTGAGCAGAACCAACATTAAACAACTCAACAAACACTGTTTCTACCCCGCAGGCCTGAACAGAGCACTGCAAATATACGCTGCCAATACAAGACATTTACACTTGTTGTCCCAAAAAATAATGTTTACAAAATCAGAATAATGGAATATTTGACCTCCACTTTTACTCATTTAAATATATTCCAGCAGTCAATGTGAAATATCAAAAATATTTACTACAAAATGTTCTAGTTCCACTTATGAATAGAATATTGATCACCTTGTAAGTACTGTGTGAATGAGGAAAATGAGGGAGCAGTGTTTTTCAGATCTGATCTTACTGTCTTCTACAGTGTTGGATTAAATCATTTGTAGGCTTTCATAATAGTCGTATTTATGTGTGTGTGTGTGTGTGTGTGTGTGTGTGTGTGTGTGTGTGTGTGTGTGTGTGTGTGTGTGTGTGTGTGATATCTACTTGCATTTGCATCTCTTCCTCATAAGTAACTGAACGCGGAGAAAAAAAAAAAAAACACAGTGACAGCCCCAGTGAAAGTGTATGTGTGTGTTTGTGTGTGTGTGTTCGGTGAAGGGGAAAAACGGCTTTGACACGGAGATTAAGCTTGGTATTGTTACAAGACATTGTCTCACAGGAACAAGGGATGAGCGAGAGAGATAGGGGGAAAGAAAGAGGGAGACAGAGTGAGAGAGCAATGAATGGAGTGAGGTAGCACGGAAAAAGGAATGCAGTGAGAGAGAGAGAGAGAGAGAGAGAGAGACGAGCAGAGGATGACAGAGAGGAAAAGAGATATTTTTTCAGGAGCGGTCAGAGGGGTGACATAATGGAGCATAACTGGGGGGCTGGTGTGTAAGTGTGTGTGTGTGTGTGTGTGTGTGTGTGTGTGTGTGTGTGTCTGCAGCAGAAGGAACAGGAGTTGGTTTTACAAAGCATAGAGACAGGAGGGGAAAGTGTGTGTGTGGGATGGTGGGGGTGGGGGTGTGTTTTGACCCACAAAAGATTTGCACGAAGGGAACGTGATAACTCAGCAATTAAAACACAAGCACACACAGTTGCACACGTAAGACGATGTCATCTGTCCATCTACAAACACAAACAGCAACCTGGCACGCAAACAACATATGTACACAAAGCCATTAACCTATGTAAAAACATTGGAAACTATATATATATATTTATCGACATTTTTATACTGTATAGACTTCCAAATATTCCTTACCAAAGACGTTCCACTGCAAAGTGTCAAAGGCCACCGCACATCCCATAAATTTATTAACATAATTTATACACTAATTGGCACTAATAGAAATTTAAACTTTATTAAACCCGCCAAGTCTAGCAGAAATGTCGAGGAAGTGAGAAAGATGGTGTCGTCAGATAAACAATAAAAAAAACTGACACTATTTTAACACTCAGATTAGAGCTAATCATTTAGTTGAGAAAGTAATCAGCAACAATTTTAATATTTGATAATAATTTAAGGCACAAGGGTCCGCTTTGAGCAGCGTGACGTAAAAATGTGCGAGGGTCTGCGCAGACCCCAGACAAGAAAATGGATTCTTGGTTTGAAGAGAGCTTGTGCGAGGAGATTGTTGCCACACTGTGCAGTCTGGCCAGATAAACTACAGCAGACAAAACTAAGACCCCGTCTGATGTCTTTTTATGTCTTTCCGGGGGGGCGTCAAGTTGCAACAGAAGGTGCAGGTGTCAGTGTTTCTCAACCCGATAATTTGTTTTTTGAAAAGGACAAAAGGCCTATTTCAGGAATTACTTAATATGTAGACAGGACTGGGAAATACAAACACATATGCATACACCCAACCATCCGACCACCTGCCCTCCCACCCACTGGTCCCGTCCAGCTCATCACAATCAGCACAAACCAAAAAAAAAAAAAAACAAAACAAGAGAGGCGAGAGACAAAAGACAGACAGAGAATGGAGGTGGGGGGGGGCAAAACGCTGAGCTTGAGGAATGCCATTTTCTGTTTACAACGAAAAGGGGGAAAGAGAGTGTCAGAGAAAGTGTCAGGGTGCCCCGACTCCCCTCTCCTTCCCTTGATGGTGGGTGTCGTCAGGCCCCCCAGGCCATGTTGGAAGGGCAAACACACACATCCTTTAAGAATCTGCCCACTTCAACCAGATTCGTCGTGGCTCGGCACATTTTATAGAGGACAGCGTGAATGTGCACGATCAACATAAATTCACTGAGTTCTAACACTGAAGGTTTCCTGTGGATCCTGGAGGAAAAGCTGTTGTAGGAACTTTTTCAAATTATGTTTTCAGGCATTTCTGCTTTACTCGACAGTATACACTGCACGAACGTCGTATGTGTGTGCGTGTGTGTGTGTGTGTGAGCAGCCTCTTCATGACTTTGGCTGACTGTCTTTACAATGAAATGTTAAAGAAATGAGTTTCACCTGCTGCTCAGTAGCTGTTCTGGTAATGAAAATACTGAGCATTTAAAAAAAGCTTGTTTCAACGTTTTCCCACACATTTCTAAATAAGTAAAATTAAAGCTACATCATTTCATGCTACACATCTCTTCTGTCACATCAGTGCATGTTGAGCCTCTACAGTCCCCACAATTCAGATTTAAATGCTTTTGTGGAAACGCACATGGTAATTACTGAAGTTCAGTTATATCAGTGTCAGTAGATGAGCTGTTGCTGGTTCATGTCCTGATGTTGCCAAATTGGCTGTGTAACTCTAACTGACAAGACGGGTGAGAGGCGGGTTGGATGCTAATTGATTCCTGCTGAGACGGCGGCATCGAGATGTCATTTCAGACTCTCAAGTCTTAAGAGCTCTCGCTGATGAATGTGTCGCTGCTGTCGTGTTCAGTGTGTGCGCATGTGTGTGTGTGTTTGCGAGTGTGTACAGTATGTAGAAATCCTCAGCTGGCAGGGAACATGTGAGCGAGAGTGTGTGTGAGTCTGGAGGAACTCCCTGAGCCAGCGAGCGTCTAATTAATCCTAACTCCTCCAGTCTTAACAAGGTCTTAATTACTCTCACTGACTCTCTCAAGACGAGACAGCAGCGACCTCAGCGTCTCATGCTAACATATATGATTGTCTGGTCAGAAGGCAAGAGCTTTCTCTATGCAATTAAGCTCCTGTGTGTGTGTGTGTGTGTGTGTGTGTGTGTGTGTGTGTGTGTGTGTGTGCGCGTATGCTTGCTCATCTGTGCCTAAAACAGTTGTCAGCTCAACCCACTTCCCACACCAAGTGAGGGGGACATTGTGTGTAAGAGGCTCATCTTTAAGAACCAGTTTCCCATAGACAAAGTCCATTCAAGTCCAATTAGGGGAAGCCATTCAGGGCCCTAATTCCCTTACAGTGAATCTGCCTGATCCTCCTAACACATGCTACTTATTGTTCCCTGGGAAGGAGGAGGGAGGAAGGGGGGAGGAGTAAGAGAGAGAGTGAGAGAGAGAAGAAGAAAAAGAGACATTGACCCGGATTTTGGAAATATGGTAATGATGAGGGTAATGAATGCAATGGGACAATGAAACAGGACACACACATACACAGACAGACAGCAACAGGGTGCTCTCTCTACTCAGTCCTATACACACACACACACACACACACACACACACGACCAAAGCCTTGAAAAGAACAGCCTTGTTCAACACAAATAGGATTATCCATGATTCATTTTTTTATTAAGGAAAATATTATCTGCAGAGTTCCTCCCACAGATAAATACGATGGATTAACCAGGATTACGACTCAATTAAAACTAAATTTGACTGTAAATCATTATTTGCATAAAATATGAAGGACGAGACATTTTCTTAAAGGATAATGCTGTTGAGACGTCACATTCTTCTTATTGTCAACAAATTCAATGTAACAACCAAAAGCATCAATTAATTGCTCCCGCTGACACATATTATCTGTATGGACAAAGCAGGATATACCTTATTTTTTCTGTGCAACAGAGCTCCAAAACCGATGAGAGAACACATCAGCGAGCCGAACTGTTGCACTGATCGACATGTTCCTTCATTAGCATGAATACACACTGTAGTTTATTTAGCCTCAATCCCACATACACAGACATGTTGCTGTAAATACTCACTAGAGCATCAAAGCTGTATTCTTACACATCTGAAAATAGTTTGAGTAATTCTTGCTGAAAATGACAGTGCTCAGCTGTTTTAGATTAATGAACCTTTTTAAAAATGATAGACTATATATTTGTGATGTTATAATATTTAGATCTTCAGTAGGAACCAGGTTTGGGCCCCTGTGCCACAGATGTGATAGGAAAGGTGCAAATTATAGAGAGACATACTAACGGATTGTAGGTTTTGGTCTTTTCATGGGTTTCATTTATGAAGATTTTTCATTAAATCAAATCCTGCTTTTCTCTTTGTTGGCATTGTTGGAGTAATAGTCATTCTAAGCATTTCTGGTCTATAATTACTTCTATATTTAGTAGTTTTCTTTGTTAGTAGCAGAATCTGCCGTCTGCACTGTGGATTCCAGCTGACCACTCACGCACGAGATGCATTGCTGCTGTAAATTTGACTAAATGTATAGATAGGAGACAGAAAAAGATGTAAAACCATCTACACGAATGGTTTGCTTTGTCTACAAGCTGCGACACTGTTTACTGTCAGTCCTTAAACCTCATACAATAAATTCCAATAGAAACATTTTTCATTCCATTAAATCCCCGTCCTGTGTGCGGTTCTGACTGCAGTTACAGATCGAAGCGGTAAAACCGTCCATCTGCTGAGCAAAGTGGCAGGCCAAAGCACTGCAAACATCTCCTAATCTAAATCCATGTTTGCTGAGATGAAGAGATTAATTGAATATCAGTTTGGATATAAACCCACAGATTGGAGACTAGATTAATTTTAAAAGCTAATATCAATCTCCACGAGATGAACTGAGCGTGTGTATTAACTCATTAGTCCTAATTTATTCATTTTCCAAATTAAACCCCAAAGCCACAGTTTATTTGGCCACATAAATATTAAGCATATTACTCAGATAATGGAAAGTATGACTTAGACAGGGGAAGTAAGCTGATTATGGAAAATTGTCAATGTCAGCACATAATAGTTTTAAAGTGTTTTCTTTTTTCTTTCCCTGTAACTGAAGGGTGGCCAGACTTTTAAAATGAAGTTTTAGTAAATGAAGTTTGGGGATACACAATCATTTATTATAACTCATTAGCTCACTTAGCTCATTACTATTAATGTTGAGATTCAGAAGTTCCGAGATATTCTTCATTTTCATTATTTATTTTTTCTTTTCTCAGTAGACTTTAAGAAAAAGTGAAGCTTTAAAATTCTACTGCCAGCATCTGTGTACAACCACCTAATTAATTTATTCAGCACATTCACTGCTCTCAAAACGGTGTCGTTGTGACATAGAAAAATGCTAAATTTTAATTCAGAAATTCTTCCAGAATGAAGAGCTTCTAGCTGGGATTGTCACTATGCAACATATGTTTCCGTCTTTGCAGAGTGAATGTATTAAATAATTTTTAGCCTGAAGATAATGCAATGTTTAATGCATTGAAGAAATTCTTTGAAACCTTTTAAGTTTGCATTTAATTTATTTTAGTTTTGTTTCTTCGGTTGACATTTTTAGAATTATCAGTGTCACTATGACAAAATTAGACTTTTTGGAGAAATTAAAGTTTTAGAGCATGTTACTTTGGCATATATCTGATAATTGGTTGATGAAATCCATAATTTTCTGCTTTTATTGCATCATTAACACTAAAGAGAGCTATAGCTGGGTACTATGATGCCCATTTTTATTACTTAATGGATTCCAGTTAATGACAAATCAGAGTCGCACAAACTGGGAGCAGGTAGGCTTAGCAACCTTGTGTTTGCCTAGCAACCTGGTGTCCCAGCGACCCTTGTTGCCATGGCAGCTGATAAGGATGTGGCACTGTCCTGAGGAAGTGGTCACCACAGATATGAGCCAAAGGGCAGCTGGTGTGTGTGTGTGTGTGTCTATACGAGTGTGTGTGTTGCTGCTCATTTGAATACAGTGTCCTGAATCCGTCGAGGAGCCGTATGCTCCTTTTGCAAAACACATAGCAGCCTGTAAACACAAAACAATCAGCGCCTTTGTTTTAAAGCTGTTGTTCTGTTGTCATCCCTCTCATTTGTTTGTCCTCCCCTCCCCGCGTTCCCTCATTTTCTCAAAACACCACGCAACACACACACACACACACACGCACACACGCACACACTTTCCATAATCTTCTTTTTCCTTCTTACTCATTTTCCTTGTCTTGCTATTCACTCTCTTGTTTTCTTAATGATTTCATTTCCTTTTCTTCCTTTTTCTTCATTTTTTCTTTCTACCTGAGCATCGTGTCATCTGCCAACACTTAGACTGATTATTTGACTTGTCTCTGTTTAAAAAACAGTTTAACTTCTCATGTTGTGTTAGTGAGAGTGAAAGTGTGTGTGTATGTGTTTCGGGTGAAAGGGAGCTAGAGGTTGAGGCCGGTGTGTGTGAGTCTGTGTAGTTGTAGTGGTGGGGGGCTTACAGTATGTGTGTGAGAGGGAAAGTGGGCGTCGTCACCCCCCTTCCCAACCCCGGGCCGATTAAGGCCAGAAACTCTAATTATGCCACAAAGACGTGACAGACTGGAGCACCCATCTGCGCCGTAGGGTCTCTCTCTCTCTCTCTCTCTCTCTCTCACACTCACATATACAGAGTAACGGAATAACAAACAAAATTGAACCAGATCATCAAATGCGCACAAGTCTAAAACAGATGCATGTGAGACTATTTGACAGTGAAAGTTGGTGTGGAGAGAAAATGATCGTGAACATTAAAAACCCATCTCTAACCAAATCTGAAGACTGAATGCGTCACACACAAATACAAATAGTTCGTCTGCTGCATCTGTCACTGAAAATCACACTGATGTGATTTTTGAGATCTCATTCTGAAGATGCCGTTGAATTCCCATCGCTTCCTGTACACGCTCTGACCCTGACAGTGACCACGTGGCCTCTCATATTGCTTGTCTGTTTGAGTCATGGTATGAGTCACTTCCTGCTCTCTCTCTTCTGTTTCAGCAGTTATGCACATTGAGGAATTCATTTTGACAGGGCAAATTCAAAATCCCAATGCAAACCTGACTTTTTCTCTATCTAGTTTTAAGAATACATGACCAGCTTAAGCAAAATCTTAAACTTGTGCACAAGATCTGCCTCTTAATGTGCTCTGCATGATGAAATGATAACAGTTTGTCCTATTAGCACATGTATAGTTTTAACCTCAAGAAAGAAACACAGTTGCTTAAAATCAGAACAGGCAGGACTCACGCTTTTGCAAACATTTTGTATTCATTCATTTGCTGATTTTCAGTTCATTGTATGAGAGAGTGTGTGTGCCTGCACGGAGTTTATCAAGGTGAAGCTGCGTGTCTCATTGTTTTAAACCTTTTCTAAAAAAGCACTTCATCTCCTACAATCTTAAGAGAAATAAGAACATTGAATTCAGGGTGAAATTAAAAGGTCCAGAAAAGTCAGATGAAAAATGACAGAAGAGAGGCTTGAATGTGATGGAAATGGATAAAAAGAATTAGGAGAAAACAGTGATAAGAGGTTCATAAAAGAGAAGAAATTGGAAAGAAACAGCTCGGAAAAGAGAGGAGGAAGGTGAGGTCTTACCTTGACGTCGGAGAAGTACATCTTGAGCATGTTAGAAGAAGGGTAGCGGGTGTAGAAAAACATCAGCTTGGCTTTCTTCAGGTGGTTAGGAGACAAACCCTCCTGAATCTGAAAAATACGATGTTAAGGAGCCAGCAAGCAAGTACCAGTAAATCATGTGAAAATATATTGTTTTCTCTCAGTCAGTGCACATTATCATCAACTTCATATTAAGTGATGAGTTTAAGCGACATTCTGTTAATGTTGGCTGTAACACGGCAACAATCACAGTTGTTGTATGCTGCACAGAACGGTGCCTGCGTCTCCGCTAAAGCAGTTTGGCATTTAAATTCTGCATTTAAACCTCACTAGTGAGGAAGTGTGGTGTCACCAAACTCAAACTGTTATCTTACAACCTAGCTACACCCCTCTGTTGTTACCAGAAACCAGACAACATCCATTTCCGTTGAGACAGAACGTCTTGTTGCATGGTTTCCACTTGTCAGGAAAATGCTAATGGACCTAAATGGGAGTTGCTGGTTACCACAGTATCATTTAGAAGAACCACAATGGGCTCAGTGATAGACTAGCTACCTGTCCAGGATGAACCCTGCCTCTCACCAAATGCACGATGGGAGAGGCTTCAGCAACCTTCAGCCAAGCTCCTAAGAATGATGCTGGGCTGTGTAGCATCACAAACACTGATATAACTCTTTGCATAATCAGACCGGTTTCAAAAGTCTCAAAGAGCCATTCATGTGTGCTCAGCCAGAAAAAGGCTCCAACACAACCAGCCTGGCCACAGAAGAACCTAAAAATGACCCATAGACTTGAGGGTGTCTGAAAATCTTTGAGCAACTTTAATTAGACAGATGGACAAGGAACTACAAGAAGCTCTGCCCCCTTCCCTTAATTATACCTAAATTATTTTTAAAACACAATCTACAATAGCCTGTTCAAAACAGAGAGCAACAGTGCTGAGAGAAGATTTCTGTGACCTCGTAGTGATTAGTGACAAAGGAGGGTGACAGCAGTACCGTTTAACACAACCACCAAAATCCAGAGATCGGAGAGACCCTGGTCTCTGGTAGGTGTGTCATTTTACACCTAAAGTCAAAGCAAACACAAGCACCTGCTGGCTTTGGATCAAATCCCAAATTCACTCCAGCATCTCGCCGACTCTGCAGCCCCAATGTCAATCCCATTGTCTCTACATGGAAAATAATAATTGTGGAGGCCCTGGTTGCAGGGGCGCCGAATGTGTGTGTGTGACATGTATGTGTGTGTGACAACAGCTGTGCCCCACCACGCTGCCATTTCCCCACCACATTAACAGCCCTATAATCTATCAGAGAAGATGAGGCAATCAATGGAACCCCCTGCAAGGTCAATTAGCACACAGACAAATACACACATAAATACACACTCACACAGACACACCCACACACACATGTACAGAAACCCCAGGGGCCCTATATGGCTGAAAGAGGGAGAGTAGCATCAGCACACGGGAGAAGAGGGAGCGAGAGGAAGTGAATAAAGTGTAAAGAAAAAGAGAGATGGAGCAGCGTCAGGGCAGGAAGCAGAGGAAGAATTAGAATTTTTAGTTTGGCCTTTTAATTCTCACTAATTGTTTTATGTTCATATTAATTAGGGCTGGGCATTGCCACTCATTTCCCGAATCAATTTAATTCCAATTCACAAGGTCCCGATGTGAATTCTGATTTGACTCAATTTGATTCAGTATCGATTCAGTTGTAGATAATTACAGTTACAATACCGTTTTTGCTTCGATATGAAAGAGATTCTTAGAGAACTAATGCTGTAAATTGTGCCTCTAACCTGGTGCATTATTAGAAATATTAATGCTATCATAAGAACATTAATGGAAAAAAGCCATAGACTGTAAAAGGCATAAAATAAATGATCAATCTCAGGATTTGACTAGATATTTTATGAGATTAGTGCGTGGTTTGCCAGTGATCCTTTTCATCAAATTTCAAAAGTAGTGGGTTGGATTCAGTTAAGTTTGCTGAATGGGTTTTAATTAACTTTCGCCAGTTGTGATGTTAGTTTGAAAAATGCTGTTTTTCCACTGTAATGTACCTTCAACTGCTACAACACAAAGTAACCTGACTATATGTTACATATTAGCGTGATACCACAAGACTGTTCACTTGGCCTCAATAACTGAAGAGAGTCGAATTGTCATCCCTCATTCATTTAGGAGCAGATACGTCAGATAATCGGACAACAACACCATCACCTAGTTAACATTCATACCAACCTGTCACTATCGCTGTTTAGTTCAGGTAAATACACCGTGTTCAGTTTTTGCAACCTGACTTGTTTTCACACACACACACACACTAAAGTACACAAGCATGACTCAGAGTAAACAGTGTGAAGCAATATCATGATGAATAAAAAGCAATAAAAAGTGTGTGTAACAAAAGCTAATGTGAAAAAACAATGCAACTAGTGTTGTTCTTTTTTCTTCTACTCATCCTCCTGCCTCCTCCTCTTTTCCTATTGGTGTGTGTGTTCATCCTGATACACACCAGGTGTATCATCAGCTGTAACTTGACCTTGCTGCCAGGTGTGTGTGGTGGGGGGGTGGGGGGTGGGGGTGGGGGGGGGCGTATTTCATAAATAAATGGGGGACATCTGCTCAGCTCAGTACAAAGGATTAAAGATACACAGACCTGAGAGAGAGCATGTGTAACTGCTTTTGTGTGGGTGTTTGTGTGCCTGTCAGGTGAACTATGATTGATGCAAAACAGCGTAACCTAACTGTAAGGCTTAAATCCACCGACAGTGACATGATCTATTATCCCTACATGGAAATCAAATAAGGATGTGCTTCTTAAACTAGAGCGGAAGAAGGAGATGAATAAAATAATATAAACAGAGTAAAAACAAAGAAGTTCGAACAGAAATTACAAAAATGAATTTTTTCTTCTAAGGATCATCAGAGGATCAGAGTTTATGTGAAATATGGCCTATTTGAGAAAATAGCCATGAAGTTTGGCAAGTTTTCACGAGAGCTAAAACTATATTTAAGACACAAGTGATCAGGGACGCGCCCGTGGCTCAACTGGTGGAGCACGTACCACTTAGGCTCATGTCATCCCGTCTCTCTCCCCAACTTTCCTGTCACTCTCTCACTGTCCTTATCTGAATAAAAAAAAACGCCCAAAAAATAATTAAAAAAAAGACATAAGTGATCTGTGCAACTAGTCCTCATGTTTGAGAAGCTGTTTTCTTGATGAATAACTTTATAAGAATTGTTTAGTTGATTTCCTGTTCATCCACTCATTGATTAATCAACTGATCATAACAGAATAACAGTGTAACTATAACCCCAAGTTAACATGGAATAAAAACTAAATTGACTAGTGTAGTAAAAACCAACAGTACCTAAAAAATAAAAAAAAGGAGGGTTGAAGGGTGGTCAGTATCTTTGAAATACTAATGTCCAATTTCAAAGATTTTTTTTTTTTCTTCCAAATGAATGGAAAAGCATTTTGGAATGAAACGGCTCAGCAGGATCAAGAGACGTGTCAAATTTTTCTTTTTTTTAATTAAAGCAACATCTAAATTGGCTTTGAAGACGACACTGTGATCAAATCCTCATCACAGCTGTAAGGAGTTCCTATTAGTCAGGTTCAAAGTCTTATTTTTCTTTTCACTTTGTTCTTCAAACGTGCATGCGTTTGTGTTCACGCGCCTGTTTGTATGCAGTCAAATGTGTGTGCATGCGTAGTGGCCGGGAGAAGCCCTCTCCATTTGAAAGGTTAGGAACAAAAAGATAAACAGCTACCTGCAAACACCTGTCCTCATGCACACGCCATGAAAGGGAGTGTGTGTTTGCGTGCGCGCGCGTGCGTGCGTACGCGCTACGAAAAGGAAGCAAACAACACCACACACAGCTGCCGAGTAACTGAGACAGAAGGCCAACAAATGAAAGCAAGTAGGAGTGATTGACAATGAGAGGGCGAGAGACAACTAGCTAAAAACTGTAAAGAGGAAACCAGTGTGTATTTTAGATATTACACTTCTCCTAATGTGTGCCCACATACACAAAACAGAAACACACATTTAGAAAGCTTCTATCAATGAGGCCAATCATTCACCTGTCCCTCTGCTGTGCTCTTTGAAATATGATTAGCTTTGAGCTCCTATGTACAAGGTCTTACCCACACCCACACACACATGAACACACATGCACAGACACAGTAAAATATGATTTGCTTTGAGCATTTATGTACAAAGTCTTTGTGATGAAAGAGAACCTAACAGCACAAGTGTCTCAGACAGTGGGAACAGAGAGAGAAAGAGTGTGTGTGTGTGTGTGTGTGTGTGTGTGTGTGTGTGTGTGTGTGTGTGTGTGTGTGTGTGTGTTGAAGAGGGACCTCACTAGCCTCTCTCAGCACCTTTAAACACCACAACCTGCTGCACAGACTTAAAAGAGCTTGAGAGAGCAGCGTGCGACCTGTTTAATCTTCCCTCTCTTGCAAGACCCGGCGCGCCCCTTTTCATCTTCCCCACTCGGTGAGGAAACAAGAGGGTTAGAGCAGGAACCAATTAATGCAGATTAATTGATGTTAAAGACTTTCTGTGACTACTGGCTGCTGCCTATAAGACGTCTCAGTGTGTTTGACTGTGGTAAAAATGTGACTCTTGTGGAGCAGAGAAATCAAATCTCTGCTTTCCTAGTGCACAAACAAAATCTTAAAGGTATTATTTTGCTAATATTTCACATATTCAGTGTAATACGTAATGACACCAATGTGTCCCAATTCAATACTATATGCTTATTCTATATGGCAAAGCTGGACAGTAAATTAAACAATAAATAAATAAATGAAATTTGTGGACTGCAGTCTGGCGCTGATGTAGTATGGAGTTGGGACACATCTGAATTCTAATCTGAACTCATAGATTTAACCACTGAAAATTGATACGGTGAGAATAACCTGAGGGTTTAAAGCACTCGTAAAACATTCACACACACACAGGTACAAAACCTTACAGTGACAAGGATACAGTGCTGCCTGAGTAGGGCGATATGTCGGCAATGTCTTGCAGGTCCCCACACTCAGACTTGATGAGGGACAGGGACAGACCCTCTGGCCCATGCTGGCTCGGTGAGCTCTGCCTGTGGTGGTGGTGACTGAGATGGCCCCCTCCGAGGGCTGCCATTTTGGTTCTGAGGCTGACAGTTTCCCGCGTCATGTCCATGGAATCGGGGGAGGACCGATGGTGGTCCTTGGGCCCTGGGGGGTAGCCAGCTCCACCCCCATGCGACCCCAGGGGGCTCTGAAAGGGGTAACCCATAAGGGGAAGAGGGAATGGGTGGCGAAACGATGGAGGGCTAAACCCGAGAGAGGCTGTGAGGGGAGAGGGGTGCAGGGAGGGATGGTGAGGAGGAGGAGGAGGAGGAAGAGAGGGGTTGATGTTCTCTCCTCCACCTCCCCCGCCACTTTTGCGTACCACCAGTGGCAGTGCCTCTGTTTGGTCGTTTGGCGTTGGTACACCACTCAGTCTGCCGCTCAAACCACCAAATGAATCCAGCGGGCTTGGGACAATTACATCACCAAAGCAGTGCAGCCTCGGGTTTGAGGAGTGGTAGTTAGGGGTGGGACTGCCATCACCATTCAGAGTGAGAGCCAGGGCACCACTGCCAAAGCGTGAATCCGGGGTGAGGGAGGGGAGGGGGCCGAAAGGTGGAGGACACGAAGAGGACGAGTTAGAGGAAGAGGAGGGTGCAGCTGGTGTGTTGCTGTGGCAGCCATGATGGTGACTGACAGCCTGCTTGGGTGAAGAGAAGCCCTTGACGACGGTGTCAACGACCTGCGACACGGCACAGTTCAGCTCCTGCTTCAGCGTCTCTGCTAACTGCCTTCCTCCTCCCCCCCTTCCTCCCGCTGCTCCGCCTCTCCTCTTCATCACCCTTTCTCCATTCCGCTCCTCTTCATCCCTGCCATCAACATCTTCCTCGATGTCTCCATCTAACAGGGCCTGTTCGCGGAGGAGGGCTCGGGCCCGGTCCAGGAACAGACCTGGGTCCAGCTCAGACAGTTCGTCATGGCTATGGCGCCCTCTGTCCCTGTGCCTCTCCTCCAGGCCGTCAGAGCGGATACTGTCCTCTGACAAGTTCCCGTCCTCCTCTCTTTCTCCTCCTCGGTCGACCTCTCCACTCTCGCCATTCTCCTCCTCTTCCTCTGTCTCTGAGTCGTAGATCTGGTAGAACTTCTCCTGGAGTTGGCGCAGTTGTTTCTGAACAAGAGAGGATAGAAAATGTTAGCGATGTCTCCTTTAAATATCATGGGAAAATACAAAGAAGAGATGAAAATACTATAGTATGCCTTTAATTATGTGCAACCCACTTGACTTTAAAGAAAGTCATGTGTTCTTCTGTTTTGAATGTGCAAAACACCAAGCAATGATTTTCCTACATCAGTTCTTGCTTCTCTCTAGGTACAAATTCAAGAAATATGTACATACTGTCATATTCCTACTGTTGAAAAGTTGGCCTTCTTTTAGACCCTGAAATCCAGGGTCTAGTGCCATGTTGCTCAGTAAACTCTTGAATCTCCAATAACACAGACAAAAGCATCAACCGTCATCAACTCCCATTTTATTTTTTTACTCCCATTTTATATATATATATATATATATATATATGTATGCTGCAGATGCCCTGAATGTCATCCCCTACCAACCTGCATGTCCTCCAGTTGCAGTTTGAGCTGCCGTCTCTCTTCCTGTCTCTGCTCCTGCCTCGAACACACCAGCTGGGTGAAGCTGTGTTGCTGCTGTGGCAGACGCTGCTTTCTCTTATTCTCCCTGTAAACTTCACCGATGCCGACGACACCGGCCCGCGAACCTGGAGAGCTCAGGAGGGAGGAGGGACAGTCACTCCGGATATGGTTGTGGTTGCTGGTGTTGTGGCTGGTGTCTCCTCTGTGATCGTTGCTGCTGTTGCTGTTGTTGCTGCTGTTCTCATTCTCACGGTTGCTTTCTTGGTTGTGGTCGCTGCCGTTGGGCCGGACATGCGGCGAGTGACTCATGCCGCGGATGATGTTTTCCACGCGGGCGCGTTTGGCACGAAGGTGCTCATCCGACAGCCTGTCCAAGTCAAAGGAGGAGAGGCAGAGGGGCTGAGAGGGAGCATGGGAGTTGAGGCTTGAAGGAGGCGGTGGCCGTCCGAAAGAGGAGGAGGAAGATGGAGGGGGAAGAGGAGGCCCAGGAGAGAGGCAGTCAGATGGGCTGTCCTGGTCGCGGGAGGAGTTGCTGCAGGCGTCCTCGGCCTGGATCTCTGAGCCTCCACTGGACAGAGCTCCACTCCCCTGTGATGGACAACAGGAGGACAGAATTAATAAACAATTAATGGATTAATTGAATGATTTAATGGATGAGGATTGAAGACTATTAAGGGCCTTGTTTGTTTGGTTGATTTGAAGGGTGAAATGCAATGGCGGCTAAAACCATTAATTATCAAAACCGAAAACATCTAATTGATTAATTAACTTAATGTTTCATCACTACCTGTGTGTTTGTATATACCTGGAAACCTGAGTCACTGCCTCCATTCTTTCCTATGTTATTCTTCAGTAGCTGAGAGATGATGGTAGCACCGGGGAAAGGCATTATGGTGTCTTCATACGAGTTGGCCCTCTTCAGCAACTTCCTCAAAACATTTGACTTCTCTCCATCACTGGTTGTTCCCCCGTGGCCGTGACCGACCAACGAGCAGTCTCCGTCCTGATCAGGGCCGTGCGATTGGTTCATGCTGTCGAACAGGGTCTCTCTGGCGCGGGTGAATATTGCGCTGCCCACAGTCCTTTTCACCCCGATGTCGACACGTCGGCGCTTTGTCTGTCTGGTTAGGAGGGTGGTGCTGTCATGATCAGGCATCCCGCAGGGCAGCTAAACGGACATGACCAAGGGTCCTCACAGACACGGATGAGAGGCGTTACCTGGTCATCAATAAAAACAAACATGATGCTTTTCAATATCACTCAGGAAAAAACATTTTGCTAAACTCTACAGAGAGTATTAAAGTTTTCATTTGCAAATGAGATTATCATTTAGCAGAATCATGCGTGAAGTGATCATTTTTTGGTCATAGAAAAGCCCATTCATAAAAATTTGTAGCTATATTTAATGACTTTTAATTTTTAAAATAATGCTGGTCTGTACAGGAGGAAAAGAAGAAGAAAAATGTTTTGAATTGTTGGATGTACTAGCACTAAAATGAAAAGAAAAGACTTTATTAAAAGCAGTGAATTGGTCTGGTGAATTGGAAATGCTTTATGGCTTTTAACAGCGTCAGAAGACTTTCCAAAATAGAAAAAACTGTCTTTAGTCCTTGTTTTACATTTTGTTCATACAGAGTAGACAATAAATATGACACATAAATCACCACTTAGGGAACCATTGCAAAAATGTCAAACAGCACAGACCAACATACCTGACAGAAGCAAAAGGGGCAGTCAGTTCTATTGATCACACTCTGAGCACTATACAAAAGAAATCACTCACAGTGCATTTCTTGATCAAAAACCAAGGTATGAGAAAATAAAACACACTCTTTAAAATAGTTCAAGGAGATGTTCCCACAGAGGAGTAACACCTCCCTGTAATAACCAACATAATTTCCCATTTCCCTCTCCCCTGAGGTGTAACCTTGATTTCTGCATCTTGTGAGGAGCTGTGAAGAATCGACAGGCTCTCTTATTGTCAGAGGGATTTCACTTCACTCTCAAGAAGAGAAAAATGATTTTTTTTCTCCCTTTTGTGTTGTTTTTTTTTTTTTTTTTTTACTTCTTCACATGATTTGAAAACAGTCGCTACTTATCTTACATATTTAAAAACAGTGAATTTTGACGTTATTGAACGTCAAATAGTTGATTTTAACAAGAAAAGTTGAATTCGTATAAATACTACCGGGTTTTGACAAGTTCTCTGTGCACTTCATATCAAAGGTTTCTTTTTTTTTTGACGAGTGAATATTTCTTGTCTAATACACTGCAAATGTGATCTATTGATGCTCTGGAAACACTTAAAACTAACCTAGGAGTGGGGAAAGTTGAAGAGCTGGCTTCATCCTTATTCAGAAATATCACCTATATCTGGTTTACATTGACTAAGATACTTGCAAAAATGTCCAAAAAGTGTAGGGTATCCAAACCTGAACTATCAAAATGGATATTAAAGAAAGATCAAAGAAAGAAAATTCTCAGGCTAAAATTGAATTTAAGTCCCAGCTGATTTTCAACATTGCTTTCCTCATTCATTTTCAAATCTGAAAAAAAACCATCAAAAAGCGTCACCAAAAATGAATTTTGGCTATTTTTAGATGGTGCAAGTTAGTATCTGCTTGCGTATGTACCTTCACACACATGCACATATAGGCAGTGTTTTCCATGTTACCTGTTTGCATCTGTTTTGCAAATGATTTCACGGTCAGGTCTAGGGAAATATTTCACAAATGAAAGCTGCTTCCTACAACAGTTTGGTAGAGCTGCGTTCATGGGAGTTGAGCAGTTTTCATAAGAACAAATTTGTGACAGATTTTAAAGAAAGACAAAAATGTCAACGTGCTCAAATACACGTTCAGACTGAATCAAGTATAAAAATGAAATGCTTTTGCATTAGCCAACAACAGCCGACAAAGCAGACACTGTTGTGTTCCTGCAGGGCCATTACCAAATGAAATACTGTCCAAGCAGGGGAGAAGGGTTAGTTTGAATGTGACTCTGAGTTTCAGTGTTGTAGACGAGAGGTGCTCAGAAAAACACTCAGCCCCTCAGCACAGTGCCCAGCAGTGACCCAGATACACCAGACACACACTCGCATACAGTCCACGCATGCATACACACATTGCTCACTGTTTGCATTATTGGTTTCTTGGCATTACTCTGTACAGGGGTCTGGCACACACACACACCCACCACACACACACACACACACACACACACACACACACACACACACACACACACACACAGAGGGGTGGTAGAGAGAGTGAGAGACAAACAGTTTAGATTAGGGGGGTCCAAAGAGCTTGAAAACTTGGTTATTGGTTATTTACTTACTTGGTTATTTTGAAATTTGTCTCTGAGGTCAAACTGAGGGTGTATCAGTGTAAAAACAGCCAGTGTTTCCTGTCTGAATGAGTAAAACACAAAGCAATAGAGGATGAAAATGTCTTTATCACTTTTTCTGTGATCACTGACAAAATTATATCAGACAAACTCAGACATTGTTCTGTTCTACACCAGCAGCAACACACAACAAGTGTAAAACTTTTGCATAGTTGTACCTTTTGCGTTCATGCTCAGAAGAGCTTCAGTGAAAGGTCCATTGAAAGGAGATGTGAGAGTGTGTGTGTGTGTGTGTGTGTGTGTGTGTGTCCGTGTGTGTGTCCGTGTGTGTGTGTGTCTGTGTGTGTGGTTTCTGTAACAAAACAGAAACTTTTTTTCTCACTGAGTTTGAAGGGCAGGAATAACTGGCTCTGCAATTGAGAACTGAAATTAGAAGTGACTGATGAGTAACTGCAACTGCACAAGTCTAATTTTCATTTCAAATGAATGCAACCCTTTTGTGGTTTATGGATAAATTAATTTCTCTCAGGGGAGTCTATCTAGAATTATTTAAGCTTCATATAAATACTTCTGGCTAAAATTAGAAAAAAGGAAAACGGGGTCAAAATGATTTTAGGAAATCAAACTTTTTGTCCTAGTCGGAGGTCATAATTTGCACATCTGTTATCTCCTTCTGTGCCTCTGAGAGGAACAAAATAACGGAGTTATTCTTGTTAAAATGAGGTACGAAAAAATATGTGACGCCTCAGTGTTGAGGGGATCCCCGTCATTCCTTCTCACTGTAGCTGCCTGTGTGCGCTCTGAGCAGAGAGCACCGCTGTCCAGAGACCGACACAAAACACAAGCTGCTACTTTTACGCACGGCGCTATTGACGGCAAATGAAGAGAGATGACTGTCACTCTCTAAACAATCATTAGTCCACGGTAATGACAGACAGCAGCAGTCCTGCTGCAACAGGAGAGGTAGACCGGCGCACGCTGCAAACATGAAGTAGTTCCACCTTAATATGTCGTTTTTTATTTTTTAATTTTTTAATTAAAGCGTATAAAGTTTAATTCCATGAGTAAAGAGGAAGAATTCAAAGCTGTTGGCTCTTGTTTTAGTGACAATCATACTGAATTAATTGACTGCAGATTAATTAAATGGAACTTGACTTAAATTCTTGAAAGACATTAATTTGATTTGGAAGCAGGGAGATTGTCTCTCTCATCCATAGTCAAAGTTCTCCCTTTGTTTTAATTTGACAAACAGAATATGAGCTGGAGGATTTTAAAACGCATCTCTGTGAACGACTTGTTAATCATCCGATAACAACTGTCACGAAGTCCAAAAGCAGCGACAGGAGCGTGAATCCACGGAGTTCACCTCGGCAGCGTCCACAACCGAAGTAAAATCACGGCAGCAAACAGTGAACAAAACCTCATTTGAATAATAAAACAAAAAAACTTCTATCAGTGATTTTAGTCCACGGAGCAACGTTCACAGAGCCGGAAAAAGTCACAAGCAGTGTGAGACTGACGCGCATTAAGTCAATATGAGCAGAAACAGTTTCGGAAAAATTCATTTAAACCCTCTGGATCCGTGATGTGTGACGGGGATGGAGCGTCTCCATGAACCATCAGTGGAAGTTAAGTTACACCGAACACACACGATGCGATCGGACAAATCACACACGTATGCACACACACACAGCCTACGATAGCCTTTGTGAGCCCACTGGTGACAACAATAACCGTGATAAATAAGAAGTGTAATAAGTTTGTTCTTACTTCTCTCTGGAGCGTTCCTCCAAGTCGGTCCGTCGAAGAAAGGGCGAACACAAGAGACAGATCCGCACTCGCCGTTGAGATCAATGCCGTAATTTACCACGGCAAAGTGGAGACGTATGCAGAGCGTGCGTGCGCGCGGGCGCGAATGTGTGTACGGGAGGGAGCGAGAGAGACGGAGAGACTCGGAGAGAGATTGTGTGTGCGTGTGTGAGAGAGATAGAGAGTGGGAGAGATAAAGAGAGAGAGAGAGAGGTTGCTCTTGTGCGCCGCTCTCCTCCCGGGATGGGAAGTGTGTAGTGTTGAGCGCACCCGGTCCGTCCGCCACTCTCGGCTCGTCGCGAATCCCGCTTTCTCCCTCTGACCGACGGCAAGACTCTCAGTAAGAAACAAGAAGAGACGCACATGAAGGATACGTGAAGACGCTGCGTCACCGGCCCCTGAGTGAGGTAACGGCTCCACCTGACCAATAAGGAAGAGGAGCCGGAGACGGTGGATTTTATTTATAAGGAGCCCCCCGAAAACAGCGAGCAGCCAGAGCGGAGAGGGAGAGGGAGGAGAGAGGAGCAGAGGAGGATGCGGAGGGTAAACTGAAAGTCAGGTTCACCAACTTTTCTCATTAGTGGAGACGCTGCAGAAAATCATTGTACAATTAATTTCCCGTTTAACTTAAACCACACTTTAAGGACATAAGTTCCTTTTCCGTGTGTAAGCATGATTTGTTTTTTTCTATTCAATTTTTTTTCTTTTTAATTAAGGACTGAAGGGAGATCAGAGCCCAGTTTGTGATACAAATACATCAGTTGAACAGATCAAAGCAGTAAATTTAACATGTGTACTTGTGTCGTTCAATAAAAAATAACTTTAAAACGACAGCTATGATTTTAGAGCCTCGTTCAACGATCATTGATTTCACTGTTTTCACGCTTTACCAACGAGTACAACAGTATGTATATGTACAGGTGCACTGCATGAGCTCAGCTCTGATTGCTAAGATTCCAATAAACACAGGCTTTAATGAAGTTTATGTTTCTTTTCATT